GAACGACTCAAACCCGAAGACTCGAGAGATGAACTAATCAATTCTCTTTCCGGCTCAAACTGCATTGGTTAAACTTATGGGACTGTCACGTGATGAACGAACGACTCAAACCCGAAGACTCGAGAGATGAACTAATCAATTCTCTTTCCGGCTCAGACTGCATTGGTTAAACTTATGGGTCTGTCACGTGATGAACGAATGACTCGAAAAACCCGAAGACTCGAAACAGGTGAACTACTTGACTAATTCCAGTACAGAACCTATAGGATGTTGCGCATGTGCGACTGAACGAATCACTCCCCGAGACGACTCGTTCTTCCCAAGTCACATTAGAGATTTGTTCAAAATGAACGAATCGTTCAAGAACGACCCAACACTAATGCGTTCTCTTTCTCAACTATTTAACCTTCCAAAACTGACTGTGTTTAACTGGATACTCGCCAAGACGGGCATTTTGACATAATTTTGTATGTATTTGAACGTTTTAGCGCAGTTAGCCACTCATTTTGGTATTTGTGGCTCACAAGCTGTTTGAGACTGAGCGCGGATTGTGCGCTCCACTAATATAGATCAGTGGTGGTGTGTGCTTATGGTGTAAGCGCGAAACCTGCGGGAATGACTAAAATAATGCGCAATACAAGCACTATTTAACCGGAGCGAATGAGACATGTGTGAGAGAGAAGGGGTCATCGGAGAGAAGAGAGCGAGAATGCGCAGCTGATGTTAAGACCTGTGCCGCTGGTAACAAAACGGATCGGCTCGGAATCGGAAAGAAGTGAGACTGATCGGCCGATCACCGATCCGGTCCGATCATGAGGAAAATCGGCCGATTCCGATCCCTGGCCGATCAATCGGTGCATCTCTAATTTTCTCGCAGAGGCACGTGATATCAATTGTAAAACATATGGGTTTTTTTTTCATATTGATACCACAAAAATGTTCATCAGCCTGAAAACTGCGTTTTCCCTCACTTTGGTTATTAAATATCACTAAAAAAACCCTCATGAATAAAAACGCACACTTAAAAACCCAACACCGCAACGCACTCACAGATATGTCAATACACACACATTCTAACAACCACACACACACGCCATTCTATTCTGAGTAGAAAACCCTTAATCACTTTAAATGTTGCATAATTAAATGAATAATTGTGTAAATCTGTCCAAAATCTGTCACTGTTTTCTTTACATTGCCTAAACGTTTATAAACTAAACAGCTGCCAAGGGACTCGCTCGTATGAATTTATTGACAAGAGATTTGTTTGACACCTACAGGAATATCCTCCGAGAAATAATAAACTATTCAATCCTGCACCTGCACTTACAGTGCATCCCAAAGTTCATTATTTAGAGAGCATGGTTTCCCAACACACCCACACACATGCGTACACCTGCAAAAAGAGAGCAAGAAATCCCTTAGGTACGACACTTGGAAATAGTTAATTGCCACAAGGGACTCACTGATCCACTCCCACGAATGACGATGGGAGTGCATAAGTAAATGTAAACCACTGCTGTACTCCCTCGCCGCAGTAAAAAGCCCCAGGGCTCCCTTTTAGCCAGCTGCAAGAACTGTATATACACAAACACTTACGCACACCTGCACATGATGGATGTGTCTATTGTGCTGCAGCTCATGAAAATATAACTACATTAGGCTGCATGTAATCCCTGTTATGAAGCCTGTTATACATTTGCATAATCTCCACAGTGCACACACACACACACACACTTACCTGCAGCCATATGGATGAGCACGCTCTGGTTCGGACGCAGGTGCCCAAAGTCGAAGAGCATCAAGTAGGCGGTGATGTAATTGACAGGAAGTGCCGCCGCCTCCTCAAAGCTCATGCCCTCTGGTATCAGGAAGGTGTGTGTGGTCGCCACCACTACTACTTCCTGCCACATACCGCTCCGGTTCAGAACCAGGACCTTATCACCCACCTACAGACAAGAAAACAGAGAAACATTCAAGGAACGTTTGGACAACAGCCCTGGAATGTTTCAGCAACAATATGCCTTTCACCGTTTCGTTCCACAGTCACTATAGAAGCGCTGCAACAATGTTGAATATACATCAATAAACATTAAGAGTGTATTCGAGAAGATGTGATAATGCTCAGCGGATCTGTATAGTTATTTGTTCATTTGCTGTTTTGCATAGCGTTGGAGTTTAAAAAAAAAAAAGTTTTTTTTGGCAAGACAATTGCCCAGCTGCACAGATCTGGGGGATCTCTTGTGTATGTTTTGTTGTCATTACCCTTCAAGACCGCATACCTCAACGAAATATTTGAACCTGTACTGTAGGCCAGCTGGACTGTTTTGTTAATCTTTATCTTGGAGCAGATAAATATGCTCCATTTAGAGTTGTTTGATAATATCAGTTGCAACTGAAAATCCTTTAATTACCTTGGTGACCCCCACACACACACACACACGCGCGCACACGCACTAAAACTCATTGAGCAGACTTCCACTACTTCCTTTGGAATGAAGAGATACAAGGAATGCAAACACACACACACACACACACACACACACACATTTGTAGCACATAAATCTGAACCACAATTAGTGAGTTTGTGCATTTGAAATTGAGCTACAGTGGTTTGTTGCATAATCAAACCTATACATGACAATGCATAATCAAATATTTTGTGAAATGGAAACTCACTATTTCCTGCATGCTACTGTGAGCGAATCATCCATGCTTGTTGCTTTTTTTTAATTTTTTTTTTAACTGAGCTTGTGATTTTTAAATCAAAATTTACTTTCAAAACTTGACCTCCCAGTGAAAGGATAGATTTCTTTCTGGTTGAGTATGCTGTACTTCTCCAATCATTCAAGTATTTTAAACCCTGCCCCTTTCTTACAATCAAACACAAGCGTTCAGACTGGCCTCCATCCAATCAACAACCGATGGATAGAACCAAATCCCCACCCCATTTTTTTTTTCCTTTTTCAATAAGCGGTTTCTTTCGGATGTACGTTACAATTCAGAAGAAAAGGTCTGACTCTAATTTCATTACATCGCAATTTTAAGGTGTACAAATGTCGGACAAATCCAAGCTACAATTATGTCATATAGGTCTGTTAGTCTGACTTCACAAAAACCTGACCAGTACCATTTTAACTGGACTAATGCATTTACATGGCATTTTATTGTCAATTTCTTTAGTCCAACTTTTACTCCAGTATTATTTTGGACCCCATTGCCTTTCACTGTATTGGCAAAAATAGTTAAAACATTCTTCAAAATATCTTTGTGCTCCACAGAAGAAAATGACAGGTTTGGTATTACATGAAGTTGAGTAAATGACTATTTTCATTTTTGGATGAACTATCCCTTTAAATACAGTACGAGCAATAGGAGGTACCACTAATAAACCTCTAAAGGAATTGCACAGTCTAATATTTGCACCACTAATGGTCCATGTTTTCAAATCAATGGTTGAGCCAGTGTTGTTATATCCCAGTCAAGCTGATAAAAAAAAACAAACAGATTGCCATTCTGTTTGGTGTCGCTGGCACAAACAAACAGCACACTTCACCTTTAAGCTGTTTACAAAATTCATAAAAGCAGTGACACTGACTGGTCCGACCTTTATAACATGCACAAAAACACTCAACACTTATGTCCCGTCCTCCACTTTTGTATTTTCTCAGTCACTAGCATCACAAACATCCCACTTCCTCCACCACTCTTTCTGCGTCTATCACTCCTTTACATCTCTCATCTCCCCCTCTACCTCAGTCTTTCTTTATTTCTAAAGATCAGTTCCTCTCATTGGGGGGCAGGCAGATCCTTCAGCCTCAATGAGCATGAGAGAAGACAACACACACACACACACACACACACACACACACACACAACCAGAAAACCCTCTCTTCATTTCTCTATTGGAGGACGCACAAACTTGGCACAAATGTTCAACAGAGCTTCAGGAACCACACACACACACACACACACACACACACACAAGCTTTTCTCAAAAGCAAAATGCAAACACTAATATACCCAGCGCTTCCCTCAGACAGGAAGACGCACACAGTCTAATCGGCCCAAGGGACGCATGGGCATGTTTGTCTTTACAGTCCAATTAGAGAGCAGGACTACTCCCAAGCCGATACGTCTGTGCCCCAGTTCATCTCTCCTCACAGTTTGCAGGCTTTCCTGTCTCTCTCTCTTCTCATCTTCCACGTCTCAGTATTGCTTTCTGCCATTCCTCTTCTTCTTTCTCCTTTAATTGGACTTTCTGCACATCTCAGATCAATGGACAGTAAGTCTCAGCCAGGAACTGCGATCATGACTCACCATATGGGGAAATCTGCCCTCTTCCCCCTCTCTCTCTTTCTTCGTCAGACTTGCAAAACAGTCACACTTGTGTCACTAACTCATCATCATACTTTGTATTCTGTGCTTGCGCTGAACAAACACACTTTTCAGCGGAGATTGCAAAGATCAATGCCAGCTGAAGGTCTTGTGAGATGTCTGTCACTGGCTGTGATCCTCTCCCATGTCTCTCCAGTCTCTTCCTGTCCTGTATGCATGCACGTACACACTTAAACACACACACACACACACACACACACACAGACTTTGAAGGGTAAAGTGGCTCTCTCTAATGCATTTTGCTCATGCAATACATCTGTCGGTGAACTTCTAATCTTGTTGCTGTGGAAATGAGCGGGATTCTGCTCCATAAAGCTTTGCTGTCTCCCAGCACTGATTTTGTCTATTTTATCCGTTTGTTTGTTTTGTATCTGGCAGCAGTAGCCCTGCGGTTGAGGCTCTGAGCTGCTAACACAAAGGACGGAGGCTCAAAATCCCACGTGGGGCGGAGAGATATTGAGATCACAATCCTGTTTTATCACCACTGTGCCTTTGAGCAAGACGCTTAAACACTGTATGCTCCAGGTGGGGTGCAGTCCATGCAAAAATACACTGTTGCTTTAAATTGGAAGCATCTATGAAACAGCAACTAATTATGGAGGAACTAATTACTAAATATTTCTGCTTTATTTTAGCTATATTTTAACTAATTATTGAAATATTCTGATTATTGATTATCTAATGATTATTTTAATATTAATTAATATGAAAAAAGCTTATTTTTCACTTGCATGTTAACTGGTATCCACCAAGCGTTGTAAAGAATTGTTATTTTGCAAAAGACAGTAAAACATATGGGGAAAAAGTTATTATTTTACTGACATGTCTTGTGATGTGAACATGCTTTACTCTCCCTAAAGTTATTTTAAATAATTATTTTTAAATAGCACAATAATTTTATAATTACTATTCATGCAGCTTAATGACCTAACATTAATTGAGAGATTACATGGAATATTTATACTTTTTCCCCTCATTCAGTGTTTTTTTTTTCTGGACCTGCAGAGATCCCCAACCCTAACCCTATGAACTAGAAAAGGCAACAAAATGACAAAAATGGTGACCAGTACAAGACTTAAAGGGGTCATATGATGTGATTTCAATTTTTCCTTTCTCTTTGGAGTGTTACAAGCTCTTGGTGCATAAAGAAGATCTGTAAGGTTGCAAAGACTCAAGTCTCAAATCCAAAGAGATATTCTTTATAAAAGTTAAGAGTCAGCCACACCTACCTAAAACGGCTCGTTCTAACACACCCCCACATATCTACGTCGCTCTGTGGGAAGATTTGCATAACCTTCGTCGAATCCGCCGGCCGCCGACCGTTTCCTGATCCTGGTAGAGTAGACTACAATGCCGGTTGTTCACAGATTATAAGTACTTTTTTTATATTTAAAGAGTTTTTATATTTTATATTTTTTATATTTAAAGCGAGTTTTTTGGGCAGTGTAGAGTAGCGCTTGTTGTTTGTCATTTCTCCGATCACAAATGCAGACATGGTTTTATGTTTACGCGGCGCGATGCAATGCGTAAAAAGACAGTATAAGTCATTATAATCCATAATTATGTCCCCACTGGATGCAACGAATGCCTCGTTTATAATGGGTTTTCATGTTTTTGAATCATCGCTCCGGCCTGACAGGGCATCATCACAGTATGGTAGGGGCGTAACATTTCCGTCACACGCTTGAGGTATTCGGTCAATCACAACACACTGGATAGCTGGCCAATCACAGCACACCTCGCTTTTCAGACCGATGAGCTTTGCAAAAATCGACGCGTTTCAGAAAGGCGGGGCATAGAGGAGAAACAATAATGTACAGTATGTGGAAAATAATGTGTTTTTTGAACCTTAAACCGCATAAACACATTGCATTACAGCAAATACACAAAATAATGTTCTTTTTAGCAACATCATATGACCCCTTTAAGACATATAAGGTCCCCATTATATATTAATATTACATACATATTACGCATTTTTCCGTTAATAAATTCCTATAAATTGCAAAAAAAAAAAATTTTACCAACTTGCCATTCAGCAGCAATGTTACCATCTTTTACTCAGAAATAATAGGTACTTTTTTGGAACTTTTTTTTTTTCCATGTACAAATATAAAAGCCATTTTTATACTTTTAAAACTATAGAAGAATTAAACTGTTAAATAATGTTAAAAAGTTAAAATACTTAAAATGCACAGTGAGGTAACTGCAGTCGCAGTTTGACTTGTCAACTTCATCCATTTATTATAAATAAAACTGGGCTTAGAGAGTCATTTTATTCTAACCCGCGTTGTTTATACCCTACAATTGTTAAATTAGGTCATACTTCCATCACAGCACCAGTACTGTTTCCACTTCTGTAACCACTCTCTGCACATCGTGAAACACCGGTACCTCTCTTGTTGTACTGTGACATTACGGCTCAGTAAATGTTTTTATTATTTTTCCACATTGATGCAGCTCTAACATGTTGATCGCTCTTATAGTACCACTAACTGAACAAATCTCAGCCTACGACTCATAAACCCATAACTCTTCCTTTATGGCGCCGTTAAACTGCTCTTAAATGCGAGTACTTGAAACCACGTCAGGTTTCCAGGTCAAAAACCTTATGGTTAAAACGGTTTCTCGATCAGAAATGTTACACAGCAACATCAGATTGAGGCTCGTGTCCCTGCTGTTCACTTACTGATATTCACTGCATCGCTGTTTATCATGGACCTGTCAAATCACACACACACAGAGAGAGAGAGAGAGAGAGAGAGAGAGAGAGAGA